AGGGAAAGAATGGGAAGAGAGAGGGTCACACAGAGATTGGGCACTGGGATATTTGGGGACTGAGAATGAAAGGGGCAAATGGGTTCACTTCTGAAGGACATTCTAGCAGCTAAAGCTGTTCAGTGTTTGAATAGTTGCCCGGGAAGGTAGTGAGTGCCTCACAACTGGAGGTATTCCGGAAGGGACTAGGCAGTCATCTGGCAGGCATGCTGTGGAAAGAATTTCTGCACAGGGTCAGGGAAAGGAAGATCCTTTCCCACCCCAAGACGCCAGTGTCCTCTTCATGATTGCCAGGTCCAGAGGCAAGATCTGCAGAGATACCTGTGAATTATTTGCTTTCGTGGAGGATGGGGCGGGCATGGAGTAGTCTGAAAATCATGATGCAAACTTTCAGGACCCTATCCAACCACCAGGGAGATGGGACTACTAGGTATTAATGCTAGTTGAGGAGGTTGGCCTTTGAGGACAGGGAGATGGGGCAGTGTCAGGGGCAGGTCGGGGCAGCGGTGGGGAGAGCAAAGCTGGAAAATCATGTTCAACTCTAAGGAGTGAGATTGGGAGAGTTGAGGCTCAGGAACGGGGAGACCGGAATATAGGGGTGCAATTGGGAGACCAGCCCTGACTGGCTCTGGTGAGGGCACTGCTCTGCATTCTGGGACCCAGAAGACCAGACTCCTGGGGCATATGAGGGAGTGGGGACAACACAAGCGCCCCCTCCTGACCGGGTCCCAAGGCCATTCTGCCATCCAGTCTGCTGGAGCCCACACTCTGCAGTGTCCAGCTGGTGGCCACAGTGACCCCAACCGTTGCCACACGACACTGCACAGCACCTTGAGTTCTTGAGCAGAGCTTGGGAGGACTTTATCTTGGTTCTGCCTTCATGGCCCCTAGAGAACTAATGTAGTAACGGTGCCACGTGCTCATAGTTCTCCCTCTTATATTATTCATTCATTCATCCTACATGTATTTACTGAGCACCAGCTATGTGCCAAGTCTCTACGAGGCACTGGTATACAGTGGTGAACAAGATGAAATCCCTGCCACCAAGAGCATCCTGTTGCTGCCCTCATGTCCCCACCCCCTGAAAAATAGTCACTCTGCCATCTTGCTGGTCAGCAGGATAGGTCACTTGGAGGGGAAGGGTGTGGCAGAGAGGGTTGAAGGGGAGCCCAGGCTTCCTGGATGGAGGGGTCATTGGGGTGGGGGGGGCATCCTCACCCTCAGTTCTGACCATATTGAATCAGTGGGAGTGGAAGGCGAGAAGGGAAAGGGCCTGGCTCACTCCTGACCCCAAAGCTCAAGCTTGGAAGCCAGCCCTGCCATGCTCAGTCTCCTGGAGGCTCAGCAGTGTGAGGGAGCAAAAGGGATATGTGCAGGGAGTCATCTCCTGGCTGATTGGTCAGTGGGGGTGACAGTGGGGAGGTTGCCAGGTGTAGGACTTGAGATATATTTGTACACATGGCCCTATACTGTCGATGAAGAACATCAATAAAATATGTGGTTTTAAATTGGACTTGATGTGATTGTTTTGGCACTGTGGTTGGTAGCAGGGCTGGCACGGCTGGAATACACTGACACGGTCATACTAGATGCTAAAATATTTAAGGTAAGTATTAAAAATGCTTCTGTTCCAGTAGGTAAATAACCAATGTCCAGGCTCCCTGAGTAATCCGCCTCTGCTGCCCAGACGCTGTTGCTCCTTCCCTGGGATCCCGGGCTCACCTCGAATCCAGCGATGAAAAGGGAAGCGCTTGGCAGCTGTGTGGGGCCCCCAGGATCCTTCTCCAGCCCTTCAGCCAGTGTCCACTGTGAGTGGTCAGGATTGTGACGTGTGGTTGGTAAAAGTGCGGGTATCAACCCTGGCTGGTAGCAGGTCTGCGTGCTGGGACCTGTGGACCCACAGGCACCAGGGATGGAATGTCCCACCCTGGAACTTGCCTCCGCCTCCCTCTCGCAATCCCACTCTCCCACTCCTTCCCATGACTGTTGGGGAGTGAGTGAAGAGGGGAGTCCACCTGGTCCTCCATCTCAGCCAGAGCTGACCACCCCCGAGGATCAGCCAGGGCCCCCTCCTCTTGGCCCCTATAATACGTGGGCACCTTGGTAGCTGGGAGGGTGTTGAGCCCCGCAGGGAGGGAGTGGTCCCTGAGCAGGGGAATGGGCATAGCCTCTGATGCATCCAAAGATGTGCAGGCCTGGACTGATGGAGGACACAGCTGCAAGGTGCTCATTCTGCTTGGGCTGTTGAAGAACCTTCAGCCGAGGTCAGTGTTGTATGTGGGTCGGCATTCCCTGAACACACACCAAGGGGCAACCAGCAAGGCAGTCCCGAGATATGCTGCGGCCAGCGGGAAGGGACGAGTGGAGCTGCAGCTAACCCTCAGCACATTCTACAGTGTGAGCTATCCATACTCCACAGGGCAGACACACCTGCCTTGTTCACACTGGACCCTGGATGCCTGGCAGGGACCAGGCACGTAGTAGGTGCTCAATGATTGCACAGACCCGGTGCTCATTCACTCACTGCATACCTCTTCTTCCCATGATGTGCCCAGCACTGGGCTGTGCACACAGCGGGGCTGGAAGATAAAGGAGACAGCTCTGTTATCCAGGGGTTCACATCCTGGGAGAGGTTCCTGGGGGTGCTCAAAGGACGAAGAGAGCACATCCAGAGGTAGGGAGCAGGGAGCTTCCATTTGGGCAGAGCCTGGAAGGAGGGATGAGATCTCTGCAGGTGGAGAGGGAGGGAGAGGGCTGTCCAGGTGGAGGGAACAGGCCTGGAGCCTTGGAATGATCGTGGAACAGTTAGGATCGGGGACATCACAGTGAGGCAGAGGGAGTTAAGGCTAAGAGTTGGGATCTGAGCGGAGGGGCCTTGAAGGCCAAGCTAAGAGATCTGGAATAAATGTGACCGGTAATAGGGAACCATTGAAGGTTTTGAGCAAGGGAATTACCTGATTAGAGCTAGAGTTCAGAAAATGGAGCTTTGGCAGGTAGAATGGAAGTGGGAGGGACCAGATAAGAGGCATTTGCTATGATCTGCGTATGATGTAACCAGGGTCTGGGGGGAATAGTGGCTGTAGGCTGGTAAGGAAGGGAAGATATCAGAGGCACTTCGCAGTCACGGAGCATGACTGAAGGGGCACTGGTGAAAGGATCCACGGTGATCCTGAAGGTTGGGGTGGGGTGAGCAGTGTGACCTCAAAGGACAGGCCATCAGGACCCCTGGAACTGGGAGAAGAGCATGACCCTGGGCAGGGCTCAGGGCCCCTGAAGCGCTCGCCACTGTCATTGGCCCATTGGTTGGCAGTTGATGGTGCCACTCTTAATAACCACTCTGCTACCTTGAGTGGAGGAAGGGGTTCAGAGCTTTTTTAGGCACAACTCTCTGACTCCCAAAGCCTGGGGGTGGGGAACCATCTGCCTGCGGCAATAGAGGTCATAGGTCCTCTGGTCTCCACACCGTGTCAGACACAGTGAGATACTGGGCTCCCCAGCGCTCAGGAACCAAAGGAGCTTTGGGGAGAGGATGTACTTGAGGAGACCTAAACCACATCCCCCTCCACTATGATGAGGAGCCCAGTCCTTCGGTCCTGGCAGCCATCTTTCAGCCAGTCTCTTCCACTAGGAACATGGCTGTGTCCCTGTGACTCTATGTATTTGGTCCTCCCCCCCGTGCCCTGGCTCCTCTCTGTACCCTGTGTCCTCCAACTGGCCTCATTGTTCCCCCTCACGTCCCTCCTGCCCTGCTTCTGGGCATGCACTCAGGGATGCTTGGGAAGCAGCCCCGCCTGCTGGGGAGAAAAGGGGGTGATGGGCAGAGAGCAAGGATGCCTGACTCCTGTCTTATCCCAGGTGCCTTAGAGATGAGGCAGAACCTTGGACCTGCTTACCAGCCAGGCGAGCCTGCTGGTGGGGCAGGCGGTGTCTGGGGTAGCTCAGCTGCTCTTGGTGTTGGCCTCTGCCTCTGCCCTATTCCTCTCTCTCTGGCTCGTGCTGGCCCGGCTTCTCCATTCATGCCTCAAACATTCACTGATGCTGACTCGATGCCAGGCATGGTGCCAAAAACCAGGAAGGCAAAGATGAATGAGACCCATTGCCTGACCTGGGGGAGCTCACAGGGAAGAGGACCAATCACAGACGGTCCTGTGGTATGAGAGTGCTGATGGAAGGAGGAGGACGGGGTGCTAGGGAAGCCTGGAGGAGAGCACTCACTCAGCCGTGGGTAGGCTGGAAGACTTCCCAGAGGAGGTGACATCTGGGTCACAGAGGATGAATAGGAGTTGGCTAGGCAGAAAAGCAAGGCTGTGGATGCAAGTGGGGATGGGAAGGACTATCCAGGGGCAGGGATGCCAGCTGATTTCTGGGAATTTCAAGTCTCCATTTAGGAGTGATAGGAGC